ACTTTTTTTTTTTTTAATTTTTTTTTTTCAACGTTTATTTATTTTTGGGACAGGGAGAGACAGAACATGAATGGGGGAGGGTCAGAGAGAGAGGGAGACAGAGAGTCAGAAACAGGCTCCAGGCTCCGAGCCATCAGCCCAGAGCCCGACGCGGGGCTCGAACTCACGGACCGCGAGATGGTGACCTGGCTGAAGTCGGACGCTTAACCGACTGCGCCACCCAGGCGCCCCCAGGTTGACTTTTCATGTGGTTGATGGTTTCCTTTGCCGGGCAAAGGCTTTTTATTATGATGTAGTCCCATTTGTCTATTTTTTGAAGCCAATGGGTTTTTTAAAATGAAGTCAGGCAGCCGGGATGCCTACTGTGTGCAGTTAGTGGTTTCTAATGGGATTGGAGCCCATTCTCCTTTTAAGGCGATTAACACCTAACGTTAAGAGTTCCAAGAACGAATAAGGACTTTTCACAGAGCCACCTCATGCCCATAGCTGCCTGCTTTGGCTTTTATGTGCAAAATGACAAACCTCTGGACCGAAGTTCTCCTCCATTTGTACCGTCCTTTAACCTCTGTTGGAGTGCTTATGGGCGTGTGAAATTTCTCGTGATGATTTTTCTAAGAGCTGGGGACTGCTGAGTCATTACTGTAACTCCCATTCAAGAGACTTTATTTGGGCCCCATGCTGGCAGAGCCTGTTGTTTTGGTTAACATCCCATAACTAAGGAAATCTGACTTGATGGTAGCTTGGTGGGTGAGGAAGTCACCCTCCTTCTGGCGAAGGAGACTCTTCTCATGGGAGTACAAACCAGTTTGGGACATGCTGATGGTTAGAGAATAATCCCTGTTGAGCCAGAAGATGCTATCTCTCCCATCTTTCCTGGAGAAAGCACTCTTGAGAAGGGACCACGATAGCTGTGCAGGGAGATAAGGCCAGGCCTGCCCTTGGGTCTGCATGAAGCAGCTGCTCACTGGGCAAAAAGAAGGTGGCTTCAGCGGGGGCTGCAGAGTCATATACAAATACGAGGGCTTGGAAGGACCCTTCTGGGTCTTCTGGTCCAGACAGCGGTGTTGGAACTTGCTCTTACCCATTGTAACAGCCAGTAGGTACATTTCCGGGAATTCTGCATGCCAGGGGTAAAACATAGCCATTATTGACATTAAAGTATATAAATTTAGAGTCAAGTATGTTATATTAAAAACAAAGGTAATAAATACTCAAAGCCCGTCGCTAATGGATGGGAAATTTCCTGTTATTTGACCAGACTTCACTACCATCCGTGCTCCTGGAATTATTTAAGTCTATTGCGTGTGTGGGAAATACCATCCATGTTGTCGTGTGGACAGTAACTGGAGATCAGACACCGTGAAGATATCTGGAGTGCAGAGAGATAAGTTTTGGTTAGAGCGGTGGCCCGCTGACATCTAGAAGGAGCCTCATTCTTCAAAGGATTTCCTTTGAGAGGGATGCCAGGGCTCTAGCAGATGCTACAAATTAAGGCTTCTTCCTTCCAGATAGCCAGTTATTAAAGCTCTGGTGGCGCTCCATTGGTACCAGCCCAGTCGCTTTTGTATAGGAGACGGGGCTGCAGAGACGAATGGACCCGGGGGGCCAGGACCCGGCACGGGTCTCCTCTTGCTTGCCTGGATGCTCTTTCTGTTACAGGGCCGGTGGTGATAGTTGTGAAAGGCACAAGGGTCGGGGGTCAGGCTTAGCTGTGAGCATTTAGCCTCCCACGTTCTTCTATCACAGGTGAAAGCAGTGTAGGGACTAGGGTACTAAACGATTATCCTGTGGAGAAAGAAGCTTCACAGACCTCAAAGGCAGTTGCGCGCGGGGTGGTCCTCTGCTCCCATGTGCTCGGTAAGAGGGACTGTCGGGGGGACAGGAGAGGTGGCAGAGACGGGATACTGAAATCTGCCCCTGATGCGTGGTGATAACAATTACTGAACGGAAGAATGATTAAAGCGCGGAACACTTCTCACCACCTGGTATCAGGTTATGAATGTATTTGCTAATTTATTTTATATCTCCCTCCTAAGAACGTAAGCTCCATGAGGGCAGGGACCTTGTCTTGGGTGCTCTTGGACACCCAGCTCCCAGGATAGTGCCTGGCACATAGAAAGTGCTCCCTGAGTGATTTTAAAGGAAGGAGGGAAGGAAGGAAGGAACCCCTCCTGCCACTTCTGCAAGATTGGCCCAGAGCGCTGTGCCTGGTGTGGTCCAGCATAGGGCGCCTGTTAACCATCTGTCAGGCTGTTAGACTCTCAGTGACCATCGTTTGTCTTTCTTCGTAGATGACGGAGGGCCGTCGATGTCAAGTACATCTTCTGGATGACAGGAAGCTGGAACTCTTAGTACAGGTAAGTGGCTCTTGGCCAACGTTCTGAACTTCTTCCGGGGCTGATGTGGTTCAGTCTCCGATTCAGCCGATGGGTGGGGGAATATGTAAACGGGTTTTATTTTAGTTTTTAACACAATTTATTGTCACGTTAGCTAACACACAGCATGTACAGTGTGCTCTTGGCTTCGGGACGAGATTCCCGTGGTTCGTCGCTTATATGCGACACCCAGTGCTCATCGTAATGAGTGCCCTCCTCGATGCCCGTCACCCATTTGTTTTTTTGTTTTTTAAAAAAATTTTTTTTAACGTTTATTTATTTTTGAGACAGAGAGCGACAGAGCATGAACGGGGGAGGGTCAGAGAGAGGGAGACACAGAATCCGAAACAGGCTCCGGGCCCCCAGCTGTCAGCACAGAGCCCGACGCGGGGCTTGAACTCACGAACCGCGAGATCATGACCTGAGCCGAAGTCGGACGCTCAACCGACTGAGCCACCCAGGCGCCCCAGATGCCTGTCACCCATTTATAAACGGGTTTTAAATCGGTATCTCAGAGTGTCTGAGAGAGGGACGGCGCACCATGGTATTTTTGTGTGTGAGTGCTATTTTCGTTCGTTCTGTTTCTTTGTACACCACGCCTCAGGCATTCAAGGCCAGATGTATATCTGACCTCCTGTTGCACGTCTCTAGAAAAGGAAATTCCACAACTGCCATTAGCTGTTTGTACTTGAAGGAGTTCGCTGTAATATAACACAAATAAGTCTCGCGGCCGCTAAAACAGATTTGGTCGTCTTCCCTGCTCAGAGAGGGATAGGGAACCATTGGCTGTTTTCGAGTTAAGCTTTTGTAAGTGTTGGGGAAGAGGAGCATTCTCCTGGCTCTGTCTTCCCTCCAAGGGCCAAGTCACCTCCCTCCCGTGGGTCAACATCACATCACCCTGGAACATCTACGTGTCCCTTGACCCGCAGGAAATCAATCACTCCATCTCCAAACTGAGCACACATCAGGGTCCAAGAAGTCAGAGCAGTATTAGAATCAGAGACCCCGGTCTTGTTAAGCTTACTGTTGAAAAAAAAAAAAATCACTGTTTCACTGAGAACCCTAAAGACTCGTGAAGCTGCCCAACTTGATTTAAAGAACTTACATCTGTTGTTCGACTCCCAACTTTTATCACTGTATGCACTCGACATTCTCAGATGTCTGTCAGACTCTCAGGGCAGTGCTCCTCATTACCCAGAACGTTTTGCCAAATAAGCTGTAGTTCGTCAGTACATTGAAATGGTACCTGCATGCTCTTCCACTGTGGGAACTGGTTCTGTTGCAATGGAAGATTCACGTACAAATACCCTTACCTCATGCTCCCTTGTACGTCCCGCTTGGATTTGGAAATGTTCCAGTTGCTAACTTAAAGGAATTAATGCTTTAAAAAAAATTTTTTTTGATATTTATTTATTTTTGAGAGAAAGAGAGAGATAGAATGTGAGCAGGGGAGGGGCAGAGAGAGAGGGAGACACAGAATCCAAAGCAGGCTCCAGGCTCTGAGCTGTCAGCACAGAGCCCCATGTGGGACTTGAACCCGTGAACTATGAGATCATGACCTGAGCTGAAGTCGGACACTTAACCGACTGAGCCACTCAGGTGCCCCTAATACCGTTTTTGTTTTTGTTTTTTTAACATTTATTCAATTTTGAGAGACTGAGACAGAGCGCGACTGGGGGAGGGGCAGAGAGAGGGAGACAGAATCCAAAGCAGGCTCCAGGCTCTGAGCTGTCAGCACAGAGCCTGACGCGGGGCTCGAACCCACAAGCTGTGAGATCATGACCTGAGCTGAAGTAGGACACTCAACCAACTGAGCCACTCCGATGCCCCAAGGAATTAATACTTTTAATTAGATTTAAATTATAAAGGCATTACAAACGCAATGTAGGAAACATAGAAAATAGGAAAAAGCTCATAATCACCACACACTAATTCCCCTGTTAGTCTCATTTCAGCAAATTCCTTTCCAGCATTTTTTGTAGTTCTATTTCTTGCAAGGTTGTCATCATAGTGTGTGTAGTTCTGTATATTTTATTTTTCCACCTAACGTCTTTCACTGGCATTTTCCAGGTTGCTATAAGTTTTCATCTTTGTCAATATTAACAGAAATTCCAGAAATGGATATACCGTCATCATCTAACCGTTCACTCATTTGGGTACATTTAAGGTTTTCTGTTTGTTTGTTTTATGGTTTTTCCGCTGTTACCGGCAAATGCCGTCATTAATTTACCCGTGTGTATAGAGCTGTCCCGTGTTTGGGATTATGTCCTAGGCTAGATTCCAAGATTTTATGGCCTTATTAAGAGTCAGACTTGTGGTTTGGATGTGGGGGGTGAGGTGAGCCAGCATACAGGAAGTGTAAAGTGAGTTAGATCTCCTCCGTTAGCAAAATCACTAACGAAGTATTTGGAGCTTTCAACTGTTAAGAATCAGCATGAAGAATTTGTAGGGGAGTGGCCTTGTATTTTTTAGATGCTTTTTTTTGTTTTTTAATCAGCGTTTAGAGGTGTGGAAAACAGCCACTGTCTGAAACAGGAAATGAGGCCTCAAGTGGCAGTGAAGTTATGATCTGTTGGCCAGCCTGCCCTGGGAGGATGTAAACCAGGGCACTGGAAGTGAACTTGAGTCACAGAAAAGATATTTAGTTACTGCTGTGCACAGTTTAGGAAGGGCCATCCTGAGCCCTTCACAATCCAGATGGTGAGAAGTTACACTCTGCCCGTCCCCTTGGGAACACACGTCACATGTTACTTCCTCTTGCTAGAACTCTCCCTCCCACGCCTGCACCCCTGTGCCCTGCTGGTTTCTGTTAAGCCTCCAGTTCATGGCTTAGAAGATACTTTTCCCCCAACCTCTTGGCCCTACCCCCTGCCCCCCCCCAAGTCTTGTTCTTGGCTGTGTCTCCTCCCCTGTGGGTCCCCTCTTCGAGCACTGCCACAATTCAGTGTCACAGCTCACGGTCATTGCCTGTTTACTCTGTTGCCCAGAGCCGCCCACAGTTTGAGGGCTGAGTCCATGTCAAGATCGCTGTGTATCCCCAGCACCCGGCAGAAATGCCACTGAACAGATCCTTGTGGAATGAAAGAATGGGCTAATCCTAAAATGCCCTGGTATTATTTCCCCAAAGGACTTTTTGGCATGGAACCAATGGCTTGGCAGAGGATTTAGTTTAGCACACACACAAAAAACTATACATAAAAAAAAGAAAAAAGGAAGTGGGCAAACACCAAGTTAAATATGACTTTTCTTTCTCTTCCACAAAGTTCTCTTGCTCAGGGTTATGTTCTTTTGACAAAATCCTTTCTAAAGGGAGTCCCATATTGTTGAGCTTGTTTGGACCCACGCTAAGTTTTTGGTAGAATAAAATGCTTGGATCCCATAATTCTCTTTTTGATATTGCTAACTCCACAGAGTGACGTCCTTGCAGATTCCTTTATACTCAGTCACCCAAGTACATTGAGGGCTGAAGGGTTTGGTGTTGTTGGTTTGAAGACCAGTTTCAGAGTGTTTGTGACAAGGCTCAGATGAGGAAATGGCCCTTCTCAGTCTTGTGACCTGGAGTTGCGGGGCTGGGGAGGGGCGAGTGTTGCCGACGACGTGTACCCTCCAGGGTCTGTTAGATGGAGAGGCAGGTGTGGGGGAAACGTTTATCCCCCACGGGGAAGCATGTGCCGGTTTACACAAGAGCAGCTGGTCGAATAAAATCAGTAGGTAGCGGCAGAGATGGGAGGTCTGGTTTTTCAGCCGCTGTTAGAGTTAGAGACGCACGGAGGCTACATCTCACAGAACTATGACGGCACGAGAGAAGCATTAAACGACGTGGAACCAACAACAAACAAGACCTGCCTCCGACCAGAAGGATTCTGATAACCGGGCACCCTCACAGATCATTTCCTGCAGCGGTATGGACCTGGCCCCTGTGACGATAGCATTTCCCGTCTTTGGGTTATAACAAATTGGCCATAATCCCGACATTTAATGCTTTTTCTAAAGCCCTTTTGGGGGGGCGCCTGGGTGGCTCAGTCGGTTGAGCGTCTGACTTCGGCTCAGGTCACGATCTCCCGGTCTGTGAGTTCCAGCCCCGCATCGGGCTCTGTGCTGATGGCTCGGAGCCTGGAGCCTGCTTCCGATTCTGTGTCTCCCTGTCTCTCTGCCCCTCCCCCCGTTCATGCTTTGTCTCTCTCTGTCTCAAAAATAAATAAAACGTTAAAAATAAATAAATAAAAAAAATAAAGCCCTTTTGGGATTACTGAGCAGAATCTGTGCTGCCAAATCCCTGATTGCCCTGAGTAAATCCCTCAGTACCCGTACAGGCGAAAGGGCAAAGGTCCGGAGTGCAGACGCTAGGATTTAATGTTTGAAAGGTGCATCTTGAAATCCACGGCCAGCAGCCCCCACAGCATTACCGTGTGACTCCGTAAGTCCTTAAATTCCACTTAAGGACAGCCGGAACGATGATGTGGACTTTCAAGAGACGAAGCCAAGCCTCCAACCTTGGTCGTCGTTGTGTGACAGGTTTCCAGCCAGATCACCCTCCCGTCCAACCTGGAGACCCTGTCATTTGCTCTGTCAGCCAAAATTGTTTCAACCAGTTAGAAATGTAGTCGGAAAAGCCTGCGTCAGAATGAGGGAGGCCACCCTCAAGTATGTCTATCAGCCTCTTCCTGATCCTTCTGTGGCCAGATAAGAGGGCGTCACGAGTGTTTTGCATTAAAGTAACATTCTCAGATCCTATCCCCAGGTGGTTATTCCTTTAAAATTACTTTCTTCATTTTTTTATTCTGCCTAGGGAGGGGAGCATTTTGAAAGCAAAGAAAGAGAACTGTGCTTTAGCCTTAGCGAGAATCATTTAAATAAGACCCAGGAGAATTTCCTGACAGTGAGGGTCAATAGTTGGGGGACTGGAAGCGGTTAATAAGGAAGATTCCGGATTCTTTCTCTTGGTTTCTTAAAAATAGAATAGATTTTCACTAGATTGGAAT